ATTTCTTTCTGTTGCTTGATTGTGCTGGCTAAGGCTTCCAGTATTATCTTGAATAGGAATGGTGAAAGTGGGCATCCTTTTCTTGTTCTAGTTCTTAGGAAATGATTTCAACTGTAACCTGTACAGTGTGATATTGCCTGTGGGTTTGTCATATACTGCTTTTATTATTTTGAAGGATGTTCCTTTAATGCCTAGTCTGTTGAGGGTTTTTATCATTAAGAGATGCTGAATTTTATCAGGTACTTTTTCTGCATCTATTGAGAGGATCATATGGTTTTTGTTTTTAATTCTGTTTATGTAATGAATCACATTTTGTTGATTTGCATATGTTGAACCATTCTTGCATTTCTGGGATAAGTCTCACTTGATCATTGTGTAGTATCTTTTTGATGTGCTTTTGAATGCAGTTTGCTTGTATTTTGTTGAGGATTTTCGCATTTATGTTAATTGGTTATATTGGTCTGTAGTTTTCCTTTTTTTTTTTTTTTTTTTTTTTTTTTTTTTTTTTTTTTTTTTTTTTTTTTTTTTTTTTTTTTAATCTTTGTCTGGCTTTGGAATTAGGATGATATTGGCTTCATAGAATGCCAGTATCTATTCTCATCAATTATTTTTGGAAGAGTATCTGGAATATTGGTACCAGTTCTTCTTATTATGTTTTGTAGAATTTTGTTGTGAATCCTTGTGGTCATTGGCTTTTATTTTCTTGGGAGATTTAAAAATTGCTGATTCAGTCTCACTGGTCATTATTGGTCTGTTCAGGATTTCTATTTCTTCCTGAATCAGTCTTGCTTGGTAGTATGTGTCCAGGAATTTATCCATTTCCTCTAGGTTTTCTACTTTGTGAGCATATAGTTGTTCATAGTAGTCTCTGATTATTTTTGTATTTACCTGGCATCAGTTTTAGCACTTCCTTTTTAATTTCTGATTATGTTTACTTGGATCTTCTCCCTCTTTCTTGGTTAGTCTAGCTAATGGTTTATCAACTTTGTTTATCTTTCAAAGAACTAAATTTTTCCTTAATTAATCCTCTGTATTCTTTTGTTCTTAATTTTATTTAGTTCTGCTCGGATTTTTGTTATTTCTTTTCTTCTGCTAGCTTCAGGTTTGGTTTGTCTTTTTTTTCCTAGTTCCTTGAGGTGCAATGTTAGGTTGTTATTTTGTTATCTTTCTTTTTCTGATGTAGGCATTTAACACTATAAACTTCCCTTTTAGCACTGCTTTTTCTGTATCCTAGAGGCTTTGGTATGTTATGTTTCCCTTTTCATTTGTTTCAAAAAATTTTAAATTTCTATCTTAATTTTGTCATTGACCCAAAGATCATTCAGGAGTATGTTTAATTTCTATGTATTTGTACAGTTTTGAGAGTTACTCTTGGTATTGATTTCTAGTTTTACTACACTGTTGTCTGAGAAGATACTTGGTATAATTTCACTTTTTAAAAATTTATTAAGACTTGTTTTGTGGCTTAATATGTTATCTGTCTTGGAGAATGTTCCCCGAACTGATAAGAAGAATGTCTATTCTGCCTTTTTAGGGTAGAATGTTCTACAAATGTTTTTCAGGTTAATTTAGTCCAAAGTTCAATTTAAGCCCAGTTTTTCTTTGTTGTTGATGTCCCCTGCTATTATTGTATGGCTGTCTATAGCTTTATTTAGATCTAGCATTACTTGTTTTATGAATCTGGGGGATCTGATGTCAGATGCATGTATATTTGTGATCATTATATCCTCTTGCTGAATTGATCCCTTTATCATTATTTTATGACCTTTGTATTTTTTTTAACTGTTGTTGGCTTAATGTCTGTTTCCTCTGATGTAAGTATAGCTACTGCTTCTTGCTTTTGGTTTCCATTTGCATGGAATAGCTTTTTCCACAACTTTGCCATCAATCTATAAGTGTCTTTTCCAGAAGGCGGGTTTCTTGTAAGCAGCATATAGTTGGTTCATGTTTTTTAATTCCTTCTGTTAATCTGTATCTTTGAAGTGGTGCATTTCATTCATTTATATTTAATGTTAACATTGATATGTGACTTTTCATTATTATCATAATATTAATTGTTACCTAGTTGCTTTTCAGGTTCTTTGTTTCTTCCCGCCACCCTGCCCCCTACCTGTGGTTTGGTGGCGTTCTGTCATGTTGCCATTGATCTCTTTCTCTTTCTCCTTTACGTGGTTGTTTTATGAGATCTGTGAGTTTTACACTTCATGAGTTTTTATAGTGGTGAATAACAACCTTCTGTTTCCATGTTTAGAATTCCTTTGGACATTTCTTATAGGGCCAGCCAAGTACTGATGAATTCCCTCAGCATTTGCTTGCCTTGGAAATAATTTATTTCTTCTTCATTTATGGAACTTATTCTGGCAGGACAAAAAATTCATGATTGGCAGTTTTTTTTCTTTAAGCACTTTGAAAATGGAAACTCTTCTGGCTTGTAAAGTTTCTGCTGAAATGGTCACTGTTAGTCTGATGAAGTTTTCTTTATAGGTGATTGGATGCTTTTCTCTAGCTGATTTTAGAATTTTTTTTCTTTATGTTTACTTTAAACGGATGACAACATGTTGTAATGAAGTCCACCTTGCAATGTCTTTTCCTGGTGTTTACTGGGCCTCTTGTATCTAAATGTTTAAATCTCTTGCAAGACTAGGGAAGTTTTCACCAATTATTTCTCTTAATCAGTTGTTAAAACTTTTTGCTTTTTATTCTCCCACACAAATCATTGGTATTCCCACGGCTAGCCCAGTCCAGCTTCACCCAGCTTCACCCCCACAACTTCCACTGAAGCTGAGCATAGAACCCAAACCACTGAGCATTCCATAGCCTAGCCCAATGCCTGGGACACTGGAAAACTTCTCCTGGTAAACAAAGATCCATTGTATACCATGAATCTATATATTGGTATTCCATTGGAATACCAATGATTTGTATGTTTGGAGACTTTACATAGTCCCATACTTCTTGAAGGTTTCATTTATTCTTTTTTTTATTTTTGCTTGACTGGATTAATTAAAAAGATCTGTTTTCAAGTTTTGTTGTTCTTTTGCTTGTTCTAGTCTACTGTTGGAGATTTCAACTGTATTTTGTTATTTCTTCAATAATTTTTCATTTCCAGATGTTCTATTTTTTAAGGTACTTATCTCCTTGGTAAATTTCTCATTCATATCCTGAATTGATATTTTTAGAATTAGTTTTCAGATTTCTTCTGAATCTTACTGAGCTTCTTTAAAGTCAATATTTTGAACTATTTACCTGGCATTTCAAATATCTCATTTCGGTTAGGATCTATTACTATAGAGTTAGTGTGATTTTTTTGGAGTGGGGTGTGATAAGAACCTACTCTTTTATACTTTTAATATTGTTACTCTGTTTTCTTCTCACCTGAAGAAATAGTCATTTCATATTTTTGCATTTACTTTTATTTGGACAGGACTTTTTCTGTTTTTTTTTTTTAAGAGATCTGAAGTGATTTTATTTTTATTTCCTTCACTTTAAGCCAATCATGAAATTTCACTGTGATTTTTGGGGTCAGGGCAGAAGGAATGTGGTGTTAAGAATCATCAGGACTGTGGCTCAGTTGGCCCATGGAGGTGCAGGCAGCGGGGGCCCTCACTGAAGCAGCTAGAGGAGCACAGACTGCCCTGCTGGCAGGTAAGTGATGTTCTAAGAGCATGAGAGCTGGCATGTGATGTCTTCTGTGGCTTCCAGCTAGTGCAGCTCAATCAGGCCATCCCCCATGGTGGACAGTGAGTTCATTCGTGATCAGCTTGGCTGCTTTGGAGTCACCCTCAGCAGAGATGATGGCTGCCTTTTTCTGCTGCTCAGCCTTTTTCCACCACAAATCTGGCCCTCTCTGCTTCCTGCTGAGCCACCTGTTTGGATTTCACCACTTCTGTGAACTCCTTCCCGAAGGTCAGATACACCAATGACATATTGTCCAGGATGAGCCCAAAGGTGGCGCTCAGTCCTTAAGGTCATTGCTCACCTGCCTGAAGACCAGCTCTCTCAGGTTAATTAGCTCTCTTTGGCAAATCAAAGTGAGCCACCACTGACTTGAGGATCTCTGTAGTGATGCATGACAGCACACGGTCATCATAGTCCTCTCTGATGCTGGTAAAGATGTGAGGAAGCTAGCTAGCAAAAGGCCGGAAGAGGATGTGCAGTGTGATGTTGATGTTCTGTAAATCTTTGCTATTTGTGATGACTGTCACATTACATGGTTGAGAATGGCAGTGAAAGATAATTGGTCTCTATACCCATGGGATGAGAAAGTGAGTTGTTTTCCCTACCACAATGTTCTGTACTCCATGGAATTGGCCAAAGATGACAGCTCTGTGTGCAGCATCCACATTATACAAGGCAGAGTTCACCACATCTCCTGCAACAGCTGAGGCTGGGCCAAACTTGATGAACTCAAACACTTTGGCAGTCATGTTTCCTTCTGCTGGAGCTTCTCATACCTGCTTCCACTCTGACCTATACATCAATTCCCCAGCCATGGATGGGACTTTTTAATTCTTCCTTGAGCATGTGACTATAAGGTATGCTGAGTAGAGCCATTTCGTTTTGCTTCTGAGTGTGTTCAGTGGCAAAGACTAGTTACAGGTAACTTTAGTTTGGTAGCTTTCTCAAATGCCAGTTATAGTAGCTGTATACCAGGTTGGTGAGCAGGCTCATGGTCTCCTGAGAAGCTGGAGCTGTGGAGGCCACAGAAGTTTCTCTAATTCCCAATTGCTGTGCAGTTGTGTCAGCAGATTTTTTATTTGGTTGTGCTGCTTGACCTCCAGGCCAGTAGGTGGCACTTGTAGGTAAGAGATGACTATGGTGGTACAATTGGGTTTATCTTGATCTTTGCTTACCAGGAGAAGTTTTCCAGTATCCCAGGCACTGGGCTAGGCTGTGGAATGCTCAGTGGTTTGGGTTCTATGCTCAGCCTCAGTGGGAATTGTGGGGGTAAAGCTGGGTCAGCTGGACTGGGCTAGCCTGGACTCAGGTTTCCTAATGGTGGGTGCAAGTACCTGCTCTGATGGGCCCAGGGGCAGTTACCAAATGCCTGGAGACAGTCCCAGGTAAGGAGTGAAAAACAGGCACTGCATGAAGTTCCTTGCATGGGAAGGGAAGGGTAGCACAATCTCCTAGACTAGGTAAGTGGGTGTGGTACTCACTTATCTCTCACTCCTCAGATCCAGCTGTGCTCACTTCCTTGTTTTGACCAAGAGAGCAAGGTTGGGCCCTCAGTAAAGTTGTACACAGATTGGCTTTAGAGTGCAAAGCTGTTTATGACCGCAAATTTCACCACTTGTGCAAAACCAGAGCTCTCCGGAAAATTTCCTCCTCTGATCCCATGAAGAGACAGAGCCCAATTCCAGTGCCCATAATTGCAGCACACTCCAAACTTGCTCCTCAGTTCTGGCTACGGGAGCTCCTCCCCCACTCCAGACTCAGGACTCCAATCTCCAGCCCAAGACTCTCTAATGCCCATGGTAGGCACTGCTGCTATACCTATCCCACCCAGTTTGGGATGAGTAATGATGGAGAATGGTATTCTCTAACTGGGTCCCAGATCTGAGAAAATGCCTAGGATACTTCTCAGTTTCTTTCCTTCTCACAGTATCCAGGGCTTTCCCCCAGTTAGCTCCAGGGCTTGGGAGGAACAAGGTACTTTACTGTGCCTTGAATGGCACAGTTCCCCAATGGAAAGGTGGAATGTAGAGTGATACTCTTTGAGTCTGTGTCCCCAACAAGTCTCATGTTAAATTCTAGTCAATAGTGTTGGAGGTGGGGCCTGGTGGGAGAAGGTTGGATCATGGGAGTGTATTTCTTATGAATTGTTTAGCATTGTCCTTTCCGCACTGTTCTTGTGCTAGTGAGCGAGTTCTTATAAGATCTGGTTGTTTAAAAATGTGCAGCATCTCCCCTCTGTCTTGCCACTGCTTCTGCCGCATGAGATCCTTTGCTCCCTCTTTGACTTCTGCCATGATTGGAAGATTCCTGAGGCCTCCCCTGAAGCAGAACCTGCTAGCCTTCCTGTATAGTCTGCAGAACTGTGAACAAATTAAGTCCCATTTCTTTATAAATTACCCAGACCCAGGTCTTTTTTTTAACAGCAGTGAGAGAACGGACTAACTCCTAGAAGGACACTGTCTCCCTTTCTCCTGTTCTGGGTCTTCACTCACATTTCTCAGCCAGATGCTGCTGTGCAGACTGCCTGCTTACTTTCCCTTTCCCGAGATCTGAAGTGTCCTTTGCTTTTCTGTTGAATTCTCATGTTCTTTCTTGAATAAAAGATCACAGTGTGACTCTCTGCACACTGTTTTGCTTCTTCCAAGTAGGTGAAGCATGCTAGAAAAGCCTCTAATCTTCCATCATGGGAGAGAAAAGCAGAATAGTTCTGTAAATGTTTATTTTACTTTGCTTTTATTGAGCTTCTAGGATTTCTGAGTTTGTAGTCATCAAATTTGGAAATATTTTAGCCACATTTTTTCAAATATTTTTTGTCCCCCACTTCAATTCTCACCTGTTATTCTGGACCCCAATTACATGTATTTTATTCTGCTTCATATTATTCCACTAAGGCTTTTTTAAAAACTTTTTCCCCCTATGCTATTTATTTTAAGTAATCTCTGAATTAGGTATTTGTTGCTGCTCAACAAATTATTCTAAAACTTAATAATTTAAAGCAATGATAAACATATATCAAATGATTTCTGTGGATCATGAATTTGGACATGACTTAGCTAATGGTTCTGGCTTGGAGTATCCCTCATCGAGTTGCAGTCAAGATATTGTCTTGGGACTGCAGTCATTCCAAGATGGCTCATTCAGATTGTTGATAAGTTCGTTCTGATTTTTGGGAGGAAGTCTCTGTCCTTTGCCATTTGGACTGCTCCGTAGTTGCTGTCATTTGAGTGTTTTTGCGACTCGATGGCTAACTTCTCTCATAGCAAGTGATCCAAGTGAGCAGACGAAAGTGGAAATGTCTTTTATGACAGCCTTAGTAATCACATAACTTCAATTCTGTTCCAGTCTGAAGATCACACAGACATATCAAATCCTGGTATTACACAATGACACAAGTACCAGGAATTGAGGGTCATTGGTACCATCTTGGAGATTGGCTACCACAGTTTATATTGTTATGTCTTTAAGTGTACTGCTATTTTCTTCTGAACTATCCACTCTGTTTTTCAGTTCAATTCAGTGACTTTTTTTTTTTTTTTCATTTTGGATGCTGTATTTTTCATCTCTAGAAGATCCATTTGGGTCTTTTATTATACCATTTACTTCTCTTTTTCTCATGTTCATGTTTTCATTTAGATTCTTTAGCCTAATAAAAATGTTTGTAAAAGTTCTTTTAAGACTCTTGTCTGTGAATTTCATTACTTCTGCCATTTTGAGACTGTTTTTATTTATTGATTTTCCTTCTAGTATGGTCTTATTTTTCTTCTTTTTTACACGCCTAGTAATTTTTTATTGGCTCCTAGACATTGTTAATTTTACATTTTAATGAGTGAGTTATATTTTGTTGTTGTTTTTTTAAGGAATACTGAACTTTGTTCTGGGAGATATTTACATTACTTCATTCACTCAGCCCTTTTGAAAGTTGCTTTTTATCTTTGTTCAGGAAAGTTCAGAGCAGCCTTAACTCTAGGGTTAATTTATCCTCACTTTTAAAGCATGACTTCTCTGAAGACTCTACCTAATTATGTATTATAATACCTCTCAACTCTGGCTTACGGAAGCACAAACTATTTTGAGACATAAGTAAGCTCTAGGAATATTCAGCCTCTTGATTTTCAGTAACTTTTCCTGGCTTCATAGTTTAAAACCCCATCATATACAAATTGGTCATCAGTCAAAGACTCAGTAAAAAAAACCCTTTCAGATCTCCAGATTTTCTTTCTAGGCAGCTCCCTCCTCTTCATTACTCTGCCCTAAAAATCCCTAGGCATTTCAGCCTCTCTGAACTTCCATATGTGTCTTAACAGTTCCTCAAGACTATCATCTCTGTCTTGTTCCTCTTCTCTGTGCTGTAGCCTAGAAGCTGCCTTCAAGTTTCTAGGGCAATCAAAGGGCTTAGCTTATTTGTTTCCTTTCCTTCAGTATCAGCCTTGTGCTGCCTATCATCCAAAGTCTATGAATAATTGTTTTATTTATTTTGCCCTGTTTTCTAATTGTTTTTAGTAGAAGGGAAATTCTTATAGCAGTTGATCCTGGATGGGTGAAAGCAGAAATGATATGTGGGGCTTTGGGGAGAAGCTGAATAGTCTGGGCACTGACCAATGAGAACAGTCGTTAGTAGTGCTGGAGTAGAGACTGGAGGCCTCCCCTCGTGCCAGGCAGGGAAGAGCTTTTCCCTACACTTGACTTTGTTGAAATCAAAATGTGTTTACTTAAACACATTTCGGTCCTCTCTCTATTCCTTTACTTACGTTCCCCAAACCTGGTTCATATTTTGGGCTAGGATAGCTGGCTTAGTGCTGTTCTCCTGCTTTCTTCTGGGAGCAAGCCCAGAGGGTGATATGCTGGTATAAGAAGGGGGCACATAACTCAGTCCCTGGGATCCAGGGTGCTCACTGAATTTGAAGTGCCTGGAACATCTAACTGGAGATGTCTTGTAGGGAGTTGGATACAAGGGTCTGGAGCTCAAGGGGAGGTCTGGACTGCTATTTTACAGCTGTGTGAACAAGATTACTGGTAAGAAGGAATTTCTTGAGGGCAGCGTCTGAACTGAGTCGAGATCCTATAAAGATCTGCCAAACAAATGAGTTAATGAGTTCCTGAATAGCCATTGTTCCCAATAGAAGATAATCCTGAACGCTAGGAAAACTCATACATATGTAGTGAGAGAAGTTAACTACACTATGGATTTATTATTCTGTCACTATCACGGATTAATTTGCTAATTAAATTTTAAATTGATTTTTCCATATAATAATACTGTGAATGCCTTTAGAAATGAAAGGTGTGCTAAAAAAGAAAAGAAAAGCTTAAAAATTTGGGGTGAACCAACCCAAATGTCCATCGATGATAGACTGGACAGGGAAAATGTGGCACATATACACCATGGAATATTATGCAGCCATCAAAAA